TGTTATTTGTTTGGTGCCTCCTGGAATATAAGGAGATATGTCTTTGTGGCAATATTTAACATTTTTTTTTAGTTACAAATTTGGAGTGTGTTTTGCTTGTTACCTCCCTTACTGTTTGATTATGGTTTATGATAGTGTTGTTAACGGTCTTCACTTGAGGATATCTCAAGTTAGGGTTGGGGGGGGGGGGGGGGGTGGTTGCAGTTGTACTCCTTGATGGTATTATGTTGCTCCAGATAGAAGAGCACCCCCCTCCTGTAAGGTATTTGGTTGCCCAGAAAGTGTGATATTACCCAAGATGCCATGGGTACTCATCCTGAAGTTCTCTCCATTTGTGGAAGTACCTACCCAGAAGTTTTGTCCAGTTAAAGAAGACCTACCTACCCAGAAGATATTCATTCACTAGACATAGAGACATTCACCCCAGCAAATGTATGAGCAAGTGGAAAAGATGCCCTCAGAAGGTTTTCTGGTTTCCCATGCTTCACATGGGAGCACTGACCATCAATGCTGTTTTATATTGATCCTTATAAGGAGTATTGATCCACTGAGAAAATATTGGTTAGGATAGTTGTTTTCTGGTTGTTTTGTAAATAACATCTAAGAATATAGGTGAGATGCCCAGTCATATTGTAAATAACATGCAGTAATAATTGAGATACCCCTAGTAATTTTGTAAATAACATCTAATAATAGTTGAGATACCTTTAGTAATGTTGTAAACAAAATCTAATAATAACTGAGAGACCGTCAGTAATGTTGTAAATAACATCTAATAATAGTTGAGAGACCTTTAGTAATGTTGTAAATCACATCTAATAATAGTTGAGAGACCTTTAGTAATGTTGTAAATAACATCTAATAATAGTTGAGAGACCTTTAGTAATGTTGTAAATAACATCTAATAAAAGTTGAGAGAGTCGGCTTTGTGGCTAAGTCGATGCGAACGCTTGTAAATCGTAATGCCGGGATGCCTTTAGGTGACCTTTAGTAATGTTCGATAACAGCTCGGGCAATGTGCCTTGTGTTGGTTGTCGACAGTGGTATCAAGAAAGCCGACCGTCAGAAAGCAATGGCAAACTAATGGAGGTAAATTTGCCTAGAAAAAACCACATGAGCCAGGGCTGTTAGGGTTGTTCTGCAACGTCCTGTAAAAAGAGACGCAACAATCTTTAATAGTTGAATGTAATGTTGTAAATAATAACATCTAATAATAGTTGAGAGACCTTTAGTAATGTTGTAAATAACATCTAAAAATAGTTGAGAGACCGTTAGTAATGTTGTAAATAACATCTAATAATAATTGAGAGACCTTTAGTAATGTTGTAAATAACATCTAATAATAGTTGAGAGACCTTTAGTAATGTTGTAAATAACATCTAATAATAGTTGAGAGACCTTTAGTAATGTTGTAAATAACATCTAATAATAACTGAGAGACCTTTAGTAATGTTGTAAATAACATCTAATAATAGCTGAGAGACCTTTAGTAATGTTGTAAATAACATCTAATAATAGTTGAGAGACCTTTAGTAATGTTGTAAATAACATCTAATAATAGTTGAGAGACCTTTAGTTGTAAATAACATCTATGTTGTAAATAACAACATCTAATAATAGTTGAGAGACCTTTAGTAATGTTGTAAATAACATCTAATAATAGTTGAGAGACCTTTAGTAATGTTGTAAATAACATCTAATAATAGTTGAGATACCTTGAGAGACCTTTAGTGATGTTGTAAATAAACATCTAATAATAGCTGAGAGACCTTTAGTAATGTTGTAAATAACATCTAATAATAGTTGAGAGACCTTTAGTAATGTTGTAAATAACATCTAATAATAGTTGAGAGACCTTTAATGTTGTAAATAATGTTGAGAGACCTTTAATGTTGTAATAACATCTAATAATAGTTGAGAGACCTTTAGTAATGTTGTAAATAACATCTAATAATAGCTGAGAGACCTTTAGTAATGTTGTAAATAACATCTAATAATAGTTGAGAGACCTTTAGTAATGTTGTAAATAACATCTAATAATAACTGAGAGACCTTTAGTAATGTTGTAAATAACATCTAATAATAGTTGAGAGACCTTTAGTAATGTTGTAAATAACATCTAATAATAGTTGAGAGACCTTTAGTAATGTTGTAAATAACATCTAATAATAGTTGAGAGACCTTTAGTAATGTTGTAAATAACATCTAATAATAGCTGAGAGACCTTTAGTAATGTTGTAAATAACATCTAATAATAGTTGAGAGACCTTTAGTAATGTTGTAAATAACATCTAATAATAGCTGAGAGACCTTTAGTAATGTTGTAAATAACATCTAATAATAGCTGAGAGACCATTAGTAATGTTGTAAATAACATCTAATAATAGTTGTGAGAGACCTTTAGTAATGTTGTAAATAACATCTAATAATAGCTGAGAGACCTTTAGTAATGTTGTAAATAACATCTAATAATAGTTGAGAGACCTTTAGTAATGTTGTAAATAACATCTAATAATAGTTGAGAGACCTTTAGTAATGTTGTAAATAACATCTAATAATAGTTGAGAGACCTTTAGTGATGTTGTAAATAACATGTAATAGTTGAGAGACCTTTAGTAATGTTGTAAATAACATCTAATAATAGTTGAGAGACCTAATGTTGTAAATAACATCTAATAATAACTGAGAGACCTTTAGTAAAATGTTCTAAAATAACTGAGATCTAATGTTGTAAATAAATAATGAGAGAACCATTAGTAATGTTGTAAATAACTAATAATAACTGTTTTTAATGTTGTAACTAAGCTAGAATAGAGGCTAGTAGTAATGTTGTGACGAACTTTTAACAAGATGTGGTGGTCTTTGTGGCCAAATGGTCACACCATGAATTTCATGGTTTTGTTTCACGGCTGTGTTGTTCACTTCACTTAAATTTTGATGGACATCCTTGGGAATAGATGCCAGAGCTATGGAGTTCGTGCTTTGTTTAAAGCTCTTGGCAGGTGGCTAGCCATTCTGCAGAGAGAGAGAGAGAGAGAGCCTGAGTCATATGGGATGAAACTTGACAAACTTCACTTTTTAAATATAATAATAATTAAGACAGCTCTAGTAGTCTTGTAAATAACAAACAAAATAATCTTGTAAAAAAAAAAAAAAATATAATCTTGTAAATAAAAAAAAATAATATAATCTTGTAAAAAACAAATAATATAATCTTGTAAATAACAAATATTATAATCTTGTAAGTAACATGAAAAAATAATGAAGAGACGGCCAGAAGTGTTGTAAATATAGTAGAGAAAAGGACCCTCTTCCCCACCTTAGGGTGCATTGGGCAATAGGGCTAGACCTATATTTTATAGACCAATCAGCACTAGATTAAGTGGGTGATGTGGTCAGCATCAGTCTAGCCACATTTATTTCCCATGACTTGACCTTAAGACTGGGTCGGCCTGGAAGCCAGGGTCATTTAAAAAAAAAAGTCAGGTTCCATCATTACCGTAACCCACGGCTCCACAAGGGAGCATCTAGTTGCTACATCCTTGTGGTTCCCGGAGACCCCTGATAATGTTTTAAATAACAACTAAATAAAACTCCAAAAATGAACGAACAACCAGAACTTCCATCAGAGTTTGCAGTCTATAAACACTCAGAAGAATAGGATGTTGTGTTGTAACATTGAAGAATAACTGTCTGAAGTGTTGTGTTCTCTAGGGACAGACCCTCCATTGTTGTAAACCCCAAAAGACTCTAATCTCTCGAGGTCCTCATTTAGTCCAAAAAGTCTTTCTACAATATTTTACAATGGTCTTTCTTTTATCATTCAACTGTGACATTCTCCATATATTTCACAAAGATCTTTCCACCATTATTCCACAGTATTTATTTCCGATTCTTCCACACTTTTCTTTCATCCATCATTCAGTACCGGTCTGTCCCAAATATTTCACAATGTTATTTCCCCCATTATGCTGCAACGGTGTTTCCTCACAATTCAGTAATGGGATTTCCCTGTATATTTCACGAGAGCTTTTGCCCATTATCCATCTTAATAGTTTGGTTCATTCTGTTAGAAAGCAGTGGCAAACTACTGAGTCTGAAATTACCCATTGAAATAACTAATTTCACCTCTACCCGCTCTTACCTTTCCAGGGGTTGATTCTGCAAAGGATAAGCAATTTTTTCCCCAACATCCTGTTTATGCATGCAGTGATCGGTGTTACAAAGAAGGCATGGCATGAATAGCATGTACATGTATTTGTATGTTGATAGTGAATTTCGGCTGAAACCTTATGTCCAGATAGTGTTTTATGTTAATTGAATGTTAAAGGAAAAAAGAATTGGGGATTTTGTGTCTCAATGCACGGATGCATGCACACACACCTCACATGCAACCCTAAACTCATTCATCCACATATCCACATCCAAGACACGAGTCCATCAACCCACACACCCAACAACCTGAACCCATTCATCCAAACATGCACATCCAACAGCTTAACCCATGCAACTACACACACCCAGTTCAACAGCCTAATCCATCTAACTGTGCACAGCTAAACACACATCCAGCACCCACCCACACCACCAACACACCACACATGCATGCACCCAACACCAAAACCCATATATTTCCGCTCACAACCCAAAACTTGTACCCCACACCCTAGCTCATCCACTTACACCTACTCACATCCACCATACAAGCCCATTTACCCTCCCATACAACACCATACATATTTAATTTTTTATTAACAGAATTATATTGCTATAATTTTAATGTGTTTTAAAGGTATAGCAATATAATTCTGTTGATAAAAATTAAATACGTGTTTACAGAATTGAAGTATTTAGCTAGAATGCTTTGATTTTATTGCCTATTTTAATTTATTAAATTTGGTGAGGGGGGGGGGGGGGGGGGGGGGGGGCTATGAAATCCAGATTTTGTGTTTGTTTGAGCCAAACAGGCAAGAAATACCTTTTATGTATGTTGTGAACAGGGTGCAGATGCTCAAGACCGAGATGACTGTGACTCCACTCCGACCACACCTTCAGACAACACGCCTAGTGCCAGTTCTACCTGGAATAACTGGCCCAACCTACCTGGCAACCCCAAAATGGACCAAGGCAGACCACACACTATCAGCTCAGCCTACGAGAAAGGTCATTCTCGACCAGGTGAGACACAAGTTTTGCATTTATGACAAGTTATGTCCTTAGATGAGTTAGGTTAAGAACAATTATCAGACCACCAAGGTCATTAACATCATCACTGCATACTTTTCACAGCTGACGGCGAAGAGTTCCAGTGCGAATGGTACCAGCTGCCTTTTGTTTATTTATCTGTCTTGCATAGAGTGCTGGTGATATCTCCTGATCACTCCTTGCTGTACCATACTCCCCACACCTTGTTCACTTGCTCCCTAAGAGCCTTAACCACATCTACCATGTCATGCGTCAGTTCATCACCCAGTGGTGCAACACCAGCCAGTCTATCTGCCTCTTTGTTTCCCACTTTATCTGAATTTTGAGTCAATTTATGAATATAATTTTTTTTAATTGTAATGTGAAAAACAAAGCAACACTTCATACCCAAACAGCATTATCGGGCTTTTAATTGTTTGTAACCTTGTTTACTTCTATATCTGATGAGATAGACTGAGAACATATCTGTCGTATTGTAAAGTTTAGTGTATCAATGCTTGCCTGCCGAGACAATAGTCCAGATTTAGACACCAGAGCCTGATAAAAATGAGTACCAGATAAAAAAAAAAAATTATGAAAAAGAGAGAGAGAGGGGGAAATTTCTACTTAACTGTCGTCCCCATGTGGGATGCAATTTTTTGTTATATGAAGCTCCACCTTGGCTTTTGCCGGGGGCCCTGAATATAGCCGTGCCATGAATGTGACCGTAACGGCTAAAAGGGGTTTCTGGGACCTCTCCACGGGTCATCCTCATGGTGTACTTTGTGTCACCGGGTGTTTGTCGCTTGTGTGATGTCCTGGTGGGGTACAACAAGCAAGCAGCAAGCAAGAGAGAGGGGAAGAAGGGGGATCAAGGAAGGACGAGCTGCGAGGTGTACAGTACTAGGCTCACACTTTGATAGACCAGTCAGCAGTCAATGGGTGAGGTATACAGTACTAGGCTCACACTTTGATAGACCAGTCAGCAGTCAATGGATGAGGTGGTCAGCATCACGCCGACCACCTTTACTTCCCATTGGATAACCTAGTGCACACTGTCGGCTGTATCAACCTGGGAAATGATGTTGGAGGGGAGAAAACCCACCTTGATGTGGATTCAAACCTTAAACCTTTGAGCTGGCAGGTGAATGTCTAACCCCACATCACCTCAGCTCCCATACGGTTAGTTAGTTGTGCTGCCACCTGCTTGTTGAGGTTCTGCCTTATCTTTGAGATTGGAGCGTTACATTTGTTTACATCCTGTTGCATAATTTTTAACCCCTTTGCCTGCAAACCATTGGGAAAAAAAGGGGGTGGGGGGGGGGAGTTTCCTGTAAAAAAAACCTTATAAGGGTGGGAATTTCCATAAAAAAATCCTTGACTAAACTAAAGTTTTACACAAGCCCTGAATAAATAGAACAAAATGCATTTACTTACTTTTTTAAAGATGTATATTAAAGGAGTAATCATTAAACACAAACAGAGTGAATTAAGTAGTATGCATTCACTTGGGGTTTAAATACAATTTATAGGGAATTAAATATATCATCATCTTGCCCTCCAAACATAGAGCTGGCGCAAACAGAACCAATTCTGTTAACTAGGTCTTTCGGGGAGTAGTCATTGTAGCAATACCAGTTTCCTGTTTATTGGAGAAAATGTAGTGATGCTGGATTAGTGGTTGGCTCAAGAGTTAGTCTGTTTATCCAATTCTGAAGCCACACTTTGTTTGAGAATAAAATATGCCAGACTTATAGTAAAAAATTCTGCTGCATAACTGTAAAAAATTGTTTCCATCCAGCTCTGATGCCACACATGTTTGAGCCACCCATAGTAGAAACGGTTGAGATGCGCCCTAAAACAATTCGATCCCAGAGTCAGACCAGCACCAGGGAGAGCCGCCCCTCGGCCACAATCAGCAAACTACAGCCAGTGCTGCCACCTCATTGTCCGAAGCCGAAAATCAAGGCAGTCGCACCCCCGATGCTACCACCAGGTAATGATAGTTTGATGTGTTCTGGTTTCTTAAGTAAACTTGTGGGTGATTACTGAATTAAGAGTCTACTCACTCTAGTTTGATGTGTTCTGGTTTCTCAAGTAAACTTGTTAGATGTTTACTGAATTAAGAGTCTACTCACTCTAGTTTGATGTGTTCTGATTTCTTTAGTAAACTTGTAGGTGATTACTGAATTAAGAGTCTACCCACTGTAGTTTGATGTGTTCTGGTTTCTCAAGTAAACTTGTTAGATGTTTACTGAATTAAGAGTCTACCCACTCTAGTTTGATGTGTTCTGATTTCTTAAGTAAACTTGTAGGTGTTTATTGCTGAATTAACTCTTTGAGTCCCAGGGGGTTTAGCATCACAGGCCCAGGGGGTAGTAAAGAAAGTAATAAAATCGGCACATCATGCATTCATTGGGCTTTTAGGTAGGAACATATGATGCGTTCCTTGGGACTCAGAGAGTTAATAATCTTCCCACTGTAGTTTGATGTGTTCTGGTTTTTTAAGTAAACTTGTGGCTGATTACTGAATTAAGAATCTTCCCACTGTAGTTTGATGTGTTCTGGTTTCTTAAGTAAACTTGTGGCTGATTACTGAATTAAGAATCTATTCACTCTAGTTTGATGCATCTAGTTTAGCTTATTTCCATCTGTGCACCAATAACATGTTAGTATCTTTCCATCGGTGACCCACAACATGTTAGCATCTTTCCATCTGTGCACCAGTAACATGTTGTTAGCATCTTTCCATCTTTCCAGTTGCTGGTGTTCTATTGTACTTTATATAAAGCTAACAGAAGGGCCTGTTCCAGAGATCTCTTCCTGTCCTAATGCCACGAGGCATTCCAGGAGCAGAGGAAAGAAACAGAAAAAAAGAAGGTGTTCTGTTGCCTGTTGGGAGTGGCATAGGAATCACCACCCATGGCGATACCAGATATGGTGAAGGTGAAGTTCCTCTTCTCTCTGTAGCTCAACGCTTGAGCAGTTTTGTAGAGATCATGTGTTGCTCATGCAGTATGATCCCTCCCTCTGCCTGCTTTGTTAACTTCAGAGGAAAGGTAACACATTTGAACAAAATATGATCTAGATCAGAAAAGTAGTAGTCTGTCTAACACTCTTGAAGCTTACCTTCTAGACTTGCTGCCAACCAAGGCTCACTGCTTCTCCTTATCCTAGGATAAGCATTGAGCCTTGGTCCTAGGATAAGCATTGATCCTTGGTCCTAGGATAAGCATTGAGCCTTGGTCCTAGGATAAGCATTGAGCCTTGGTCCTAGGATAAGCATTGAGCCTTGGTCCTAGGATAAGCATTGAGCCTTGGTCCTAGGATAAGCATTGAGCCTTGGTCCTAGGATAAGCATTGATCCTTGGTCCTAGGATAAGCATTGAGCCTTGGTCCTAGGATAAGCATTGATCCTTGGTCCTAGGATAAGCATTGAGCCTTGGTCCTAGGATAAGCATTGATCCTTAGTCCTAGGATAAGCATTGAGCCTTGGTCCTAGGATAAGCATTGAGCCTTGGTCCTAGGATAAGCATTGAGCCTTGGTCCTAGGATAAGCATTGAGCCTTGGTCCTAGGATAAGCATTGAGCCTTGGTCCTAGGATAAGGAGACAACTGCATTCTATGGTCATGACATGAGAAGGAGAAAACTGAAGTACGCTGTGATGGTAGAAAAGTTGAAGGGGAAGACAGGCAGACAGAGATCGAGGGAGAAGATGCTAGACACTTAGACATCATGTCATGAAAGATCATTTGAATCAGAACGAATCATTCCCAGTGTGGGTTTCACTGCCCCAATGTGAAAACAAGAACAAACTCACTGCCACCCCTGAAAAGCATTTCGTAAGAGTCGACTAACTGGGGGCTTTATTTGTAGTCAGAGTACATCTGCCTGAGAGTAACTAACAGTCTGCATACAAATAAGTCAGATATGTAAAATTGATGTGCATGCAATACTCAGATACTGGATCTAGACTAAAGTCCAGAGACAGATGAACAACTAGAACATTCCGCTGGGGTTCATAGCTGGCAAACGTGAAGAAGAATAAGAACTGATCTTCTTCTTCTTTTTCGCGTTCACTGGCTTAAACTCTGGCGGAAAGTTCTGGTTGTTCGCCCACTTCCGGACTGCAGTCCTGTTTCAGAGCCTGGGTGTTGCGTGTGCATCCGTTTGACAGATCTGACTCATTCATGTGCAGACTGTTGGTTCCTTGCCTCTTAGGCAGATGCACTCCGACTTTGAAGGAAGCTCCCAGTTAATCGACTCTTACGACATGCTTTTGGGTAGGCAGTGGGTTTATTCTCGTTTTCCTATATTAGGGCCCTGGAACCCTAACGGGGATGGAGAACTGATTAAAAGTATATGATTCAAAAGGTTGTAGATAGACATGACTACCAACACCACATGGGATGGAGAACTAATTAAAAGTATATGATTCAAAAGGTTGTAGATAGACATGACAACCAACACCACACGGGATGGAGAACTGATTAAAAGTATATGATTCAAAAGGTTGTAGATAGACATTACAATCAACACCACACGGGATGGAGAACAGATTAAAAGTATATGATTCAAAATGTTGTAGATAAACATGACAACCAACACCACATGGGATGGACTATAAGATGGAAGGACTATATGCCTAGTATCCTTCCTAATATGCTGCTGTACCCAGTTACTTATCACTTAAAAGATTTCCTTTTGTCATTCTCCACCAGGTGCCCAGCCTATCTACGCTAACACCTCTGACCTGGCCATGAGAGGTTCTCAGCCGGACCTGTCACCCGATGATGGGGAGCCCACAACGCCCACCACCCCGGCAAGCACAGCAGCATCGCTGGTAAGCTTTTAGATTTATTTGCATGCTTTTTGAAATGTTCTGTGATACACTGCTGCCAGAGTGTAAGACAGGTCTGAAACAATGTAGGCCATATTTAAGACATGTGTAAGACAGTATAAGAGAGATGTAACACAATGTAGGACAGGTTTCAAAGCAGACCTCAGACTGCTGAGCAGGTGAAAAACAGGTGTGAAATAGGTGTAAGACAGTGTACTACAAGTGTGGGACAGATGTAAGTTAGGTTTAACACAATGTGAGACAGTTTTAAGGCAGACCTAACAAGGACATATGTATAACAGGCCTAAGACAATGCGAGGCAGGTGTGTACCAGGCCTCAGACTGTATGGGGCAGGTGTAAACAGACTTGAGACAGTGTTGGATAGGCATAAGGCAGGCTAGTAAAATGTAGGACAGATATTAGGCAGGCTGTCTGTGTTCAGCTCCTAGACCAGACATGTATCTATGATTGAGTTGGCTTTCAGCCTGCTGCGTTCAGCTCCTAGACCAGACATGTATCTATGATTGAATTGGCTTTCAGCCTGCTGCGTTCAGCTCCTAGACCAGACATGTATCTATGATTGAATTGGCTTTCAGCCTGCTGTGTTCAGCTCCTAGACCAGACATGTATCTATGATTGAGTTGGCTTTCAGCCTGCTGCGTTCAGCTCCTAGACCAGACATGTATCTATGATTGAATTGGCTTTCAGCCTGCTGCTTTCAGCTCCTAGACCAGACATGTATCTATGATTGAATTGGCTTTCAGCCTGCTGCGTTCAGCTCCTAGACCAGACATGTATCTATGATTGAATTGGCTTTCAGCCTGCTGTGTTCAGCTCCTAGACCAGACATGTATCTATGATTGAATTGGCTTTCAGCCTGCTGTGTTCAGCTCCTAGACCAGACATGTATCTATGATTGAATTGGCTTTCAGCCTGCTGCTTTCAGCTCCTAGACCAGACATGTATCTATGATTGAATTGGCTTTCAGCCTGCTGCGTTCAGCTCCTAGACCAGACATGTATCTATGATTGAATTGGCTTTCAGCCTGCTGCGTTCAGCTCTTAGACCAGACATGTATCTATGATTGAATTGGCTTTCAGCCTGCTGCGTTCAGCTCCTAGACCAGACATGTATCTATGATTGAGTTGGCTTTCAGCCTGCTGCGTTCAGCTCCTAGACCAGACATGTATCTATGATTGAGTTGGCTTTCAGCCGGCTGCGTTCAGCTCTTAGACCAGACATGTATCTATGATTGAATTGGCTTTCAGCCTGCTGTGTTCAGCTCCTAGACCAGACATGTATCTATGATTGAATTGGCTTTCAGCCTGCTGCGTTCAGCTCCTAGACCAGACATGTATCTATGATTGAATTGGCTTTCAGCCTGCTGTGTTCAGCTCCTAGACCAGACATGTATCTATGATTGAATTGGCTTTCAGCCTGCTGCGTTCAGCTCCTAGACCAGACATGTATCTATGATTGAATTGGCTTTCAGCCTGCTGCGTTCAGCTCCTAGACCAGACATGTATCTATGATTGAATTGGCTTTCAGCCTGCTGTGTTCAGCTCCTAGACCAGACATGTATCTATGATTGAATTGGCTTTCAGCCTGCTGTGTTCAGCTCCTAGACCAGACATGTATCTATGATTGAATTGGCTTTCAGCCGGCTGCGTTCAGCTCCTAGACCAGACATGTATCTATGATTGAGTTGGCTTTCAGCCTGCTGCGTTCAGCTCCTAGGCCAGACATGTGTCTATGATAGAGTTGACTTTCAGCTTGCTGCGTTCAGCTCCTAGACCAGACATGTATCTATGACAGTCAGCTTTCAGTCTTCTGCATTCAGCTCCTAGACAGGACATGTATCTGTGATTGTTTCTCCTGTCGGTCTTCTGGTGAGCTGTGTGTCACCTGCATGATTTGTTGTTTGCAGCTTGTTCAGTAATGGCTGATGTCAGAGATGTCAGGGCACAGTATGTGCATATTCATTGTACTGATACTCTTTCTGCTACATTGGGACGGTTGGCACTGTGTAATTAAAACCACTATCACAGTGTAAACTGATCTAGATTATCAGATTGAAGTTGATTATGTTCTGGATATGGTTGAATGGTTACAGTGAAATTTGTATGTGTGATTCTGGTGGATGGATGTGAGTTGTGGACCATCTTCCAGTCCTTAGAAAAGAATATTGGGGCTTTTGAGCTGAAATGCTATAGAAAGATTCTCAGAATACCATAGCCAAAGAAGAAAAAAAATACTGACATTCTAGAAGATTGGCTTATAAACTGCCTTGTCTCAGAAGCTGAAATATTCTGTTATATCATGTGCCAGTTAGGATTGGAACAAATAATAGGAGAAGGCATGATATCAGGAAGGAGGGGTAGGAATCGACCAACATGAAAATGGGCACAGGATATAAGTGACTCCTTGGGTATGAAAGTGCACGAGGCGGGAGAGCTGGCAAGAAACCGAGTTTCTTTCAGGCAGACCATGATGAGAGCGACGTTTTGCAAAGGACCTGCTACATGATGATGATGATGCTGTGGAGTTAAATATGAATCAGCTGAATGACACTGTAAAAAACTCAGGAAAGCATGGCAGTGTATGCATGTATGTAAATGTTGGTGCCAAATTTACCAGAGTTATGGTAATATTTTCTCAACATTACCAGAGAAAAGCACAACACAGAATCAACATATAGTACCAGTTTGGATCATTCTAATAAATTTTGGCTTTTAAAGGGGTGGGAAACATTTATAATTAGACTGTTTTTTTTAAAGATACCTATGATATCAGCCATCTGTACATTGCCTTCCTACTAATGTTAATAAAAGCATACAAATAATTGCTTTGAAAACATGAAATGTCTTTCCCCGCACATTTTTTTAAAAGCATTTGCCAGGTCATTTTGTTTCTTTTGCATTTGATGCCAAAAGATGCATTTTAAAATATTATTGTTTGGCCTGTTTGATGTGCCTTATTTACTGAACCAGTCTGAGTGCAAACATTTGTGTGCTTTGGTTCTGTTGTTTTTACTAATATAATTTTATGTTTTGCTGTGTTAAATATTGCTGCTGTATTTTGTTGCATTGGTTTTTGTTAAGTTCTACTAAATGAAATGCAACAACACTTAATTCTTTCTTGTTTTGGCCAGGTTGCAGGCATTTTTTGTTTTTTTCCCCTTATCTACCCCTGGTTGTTGTAAAACCCTCCTCTTGAACATGCTTTCCCCTTCTACCCATGGATGTTGCAAAAATGTAAACTTATTAATGGTTTTCTCTGTTACCCCTGGATGTGGTAAAACCATAATCTTGAATTATCTTCTCTTCTACCTTTGGATGTTGTAGATCCATAATCTTGAATCTGTTTTCTGTTTGTACCTTGCTTTGATGAGAAGCTAAATTCTAATGTCAAATCAGTACAACTGTATAGAGCAGAAACATGGAGAACAGCTAAAACAATTATTCAGTCAACTACAAACATTCATTAACTGGTGCCTGTGCAGAATAGAGGGCATTCAGTGATGTCATAGAATGACTAGTGTTGATGCTCGGGAGCCAACTAAACAAGTTCCTGTGGACCAAGAGGTGAAGAAAAATTGCTGGCGTTGGACAAGACACATGTTGAGAAAACCTGAGAACAATATAATTCAATTGTCTTCGCACTGGATCCCACAGGAATATAGAAGTAAAGGCAGACAAAAAAAAAAAAAAAAAAAAAAAAAAAAAAAAAAAAAAAAAAAAAAAAAAAACACACACACACACACACACACACACACACACACACACACACACACACACACACACACACACACACACACACACACACACACACACACACACACACACACACACACACACACACACACACACACACACACACACACACACACACACACACACACACACACACACACACACACACACACACACACACACACACACACACACACACACACACACACACACACACACACACACACACACACACCACCCACACCCACACCCACACCCACACCCACACCCACACCCACACCCACACCCACACCCACACCCACACCCACACCCACACACACACACACACACACACACACACACACACACACACACACACACACACACACACACACACACACACACACACAGAGAGAGAGAGAGAGAGAGAGAGAGAGAGAGAGAGAGAGAGAGAGAGAGAGAGAGAGGGGGAGCTAGAGAGTTAAAAAGATGGGGAGGACGTGGGGTGAGCTGCATGCAAGAGCAACAGATAAAATGAGTTGATTGAGAGTCTATGCTCCACTGGGGGGGATAGAAGGCAGAAGAAGAAGAAGTGAAATTCTTTTTTTTTAAACAACTATTTTACAACTTTTAACTTTTGCAGCATTTGCACACATCGTGGCTTCCGGTCCTTTACTACTGTTGTGCTGTTTTATTCTTTAATTTTGGTATCTGTTGTTGTTCTTGAATTGATCTGTTTTGTCCACATTAGCACATTGGTTTATATTTTTTTTCTCTTTTATCTTTCTTATCTGCTCTTCATCCTCCAGTGGAGCATAAGGCCTCAGCCAGCTCATGCCATGTTGTACTATACCTTGCTGTCACATGCATTTCACACTATGTCCTCCCCGTCTTTTTACTTTCACTCTAATTCATTTTTCCACGTGTTTCTTTCTGACTTATTCCTTTGACCATGTGGGTTCCAGTGCAAAGATATTCTAGTTATATTGACATAATTGTTTCTCAGCGTGTGTATTTGGTTTCTCTTTGATTTTTTCTTTGTGATTCTTCATGTTACATTCTCTGGCTAATACCAGTTTTTTCCTCGGATTATTTATTTGATTGTCCTTGCGTTTTTTGTTTTTTTTACACTGTATTATCAGGCCTACTAAAACTCAACTCAGGATATACAAAACATGCTTTAGGACAGTTCTCCTCTATGGAGCAGAAACTTGGACAACAGACAAGACAGATAGAGAGCTTGCTCAGAGGTTTTGAGTGTAAACTTCTCAGAAGATTGTTGGCGTTCACATGGGAAGATAAAATTAGCAGTTCTAGATTACAACGAGTGACAGACTTAGAAGATGTAAATTTAGAAATAAAAAAAAAAAAAAAATGAATGTGGAGGTAGATTGGACACATCCTCAGAATGATGAAAGAGAGACATGGCTGAAACAGGCAATGCAATGGACACCACAAGGACAGCAAGGTAAAGGCAGGCCCAGAGGCACTTGGAGGCGAACTTTTGACGCTGAACTCAAGGCTAGTCGAAGGACAAAACTGGAGATTGAGAAGATGGCTCTGGATAGAATTGAGTGGCGACAGTTTGTCTCTGCCTTATGTGCCTCTGGGTGCGAAGACGATTGATTAATTGATTGATTGTCAGGCCTAATTTGGGAAACAAATTATTGATGAAAATATCAGTCAGTTAATCAGTAATTGAACCACTAACACAGGGTATGTGTGACTGATTTTTTTCCAGTAGTACGTACAAAGACAAGTTTGCATTTATAGAAATTTAATACAGATTCAAGTGAATAATCATTTTCTATTTTTTTGATGGAGTATTCTGAAAGTTTATAGCACTGGGAGCCACTATAGTGAGGATTCTACACAGGTCATTAATACATTTCAAAAAAGGTCTTGACATATACAAACACAATTGTTTTTTTAAAAGAAATAAATGAATAGGATAATCTCTAAACACAAATGCAGTGAAGAATTTAATGGAAGAATACATTCCCTTGGTCCTAAGAAACAAGAGAAAAAATATGGTGATTTATTCAAGTGAACCTGTCACTATGCGACAGCTAAAGGAAATGTATAATGTCATATGATTTTAAAAGAAAAAGCTATTTGTTTACAATAATACCACCCACCCCCTAAAATTGCTATTGTTTAAAGTAAATTAAGTCTGTCTGGCTCTTCTAAACACTGCACAAGCTCAAACAGAACCAATATCGTTAAGTAGGTTTGCTGGAGATGGGCTATGCAGTAATAATGCTGGTTTCTATCTATCTATTGTCTTCTTCACTTTTACCGGGTTGCAGCCCAGTGTCGTGGTTTAAAATATTTGTTTTGTGCCTCTCGCGTGATTTGAGTGACAGTTTTCTGGATCTTCTGGCCGTATTCAGCTACTCTATCTATCCATTTTTTCCTGGGTCTTCCTCTGGCCTTTCTTCCCGATGTTCTATTGTAAAAGGCCTTATAGGCAATCTGATCCGGTTGCATTCTTACTAAATGACCAAACCACTTCATTCTCTGTTTTTCAATATGTTCCATGCATGCTCTTGTTCCAACTTTGTCTCTAATGCTGACGTTTGTGACTCTGTCTCTTCGTGTATTGTTGGTGACTCTTCGGAGACGTCGCATTTCACACGTAGTTGTGATTTGTTCATTGTCCACGTTTGGCACTGATAACATAAGGTAGGGATGAAAATGCTGGTTTAGTGGTATTCATAATGGATGATTGTGCCGGATGAATATTGTCTCGGGAAGAACTGGTTGAGAGTTAACATAAAAGAATAAGATGAGGAAATTGTGAGATAAGATGGTAGGTAAAACCGATGATGCTGTCAAGCACCTGCTTCCTTGATACAAGCAACTGTCTCTCTGTCTCACCTGTTAGGACACAACCTCTTCAGAACTCCTAGTGTCAGCCCAATCGCTAGTGGCGCCACCTGTACAGAGGATGACTGCTCTTGAGCAGGCTATGCAACAGATGGACCTCTGTACTGCCTCCTTGAACTTGGTGTCTGAGGAGCAGAACTCCAACGGCAGTCAGCACACAACTCCTCGCTCGTCTACTGGCGACCTCAGCTGTGAGCAGCCGATTGTTGTTGCTGCTGTTGCTGCACCGGAAGTTGTCTTTCCTATGGCCACTGGTGACGTCGCAATTGTTTTGGAGTCTCCAAGAGTGAAGGCAAGAACCTGCCCCCCCTCATCACCTTGTAGAAACATTCAACTGCTTTCACCATTTGATCACACAGTGTAGTCATCATTACTGCTGTAGTTTATTTATTGCCCAGTTTAATAGCATCAGCTCCATGAACATTTGTCATCCCTTGACACCAGCTTCTGTTAAAATGCAGCTTCAATCATAATTACTACCATCACAACAGTGCATTAGTGAATATCATTACATTCTCTCCCTTTGTGGTTTCTATGGCCCTGTTGTGGGGAAAACAAGAATAGACCCACTGTCCCCCCCCCCCCCCCCCACCCCCCAAAAAACATGTTGTAAGAGTCGTGTAATTAGGGGCTTCCTTCGAAGGCAGCGTGCACCTGCTGTGAGGCACGGAACCAACAGTCGGCACATGAGTAAGCCAGATCTGTAATACAGATGTGCAGCCAAACCAGGTTCTGGAGCAAAGCTAAAGCCAGGAGGTAGATCAATGGCCAGAACTATCTGCTGGAGTATACAGCTGGTGAACGTGGAGAAAAAGAAGAAGAAAAAGAAGAAATTATCTCATTTCTCAGTCTCTCTCTCTCTCTGTCTCTCTCTCTCTCTCTCTCTCTCTCTCTCTCTCTCTCTCTCTCTCTCTCTCTCTCTCTCTCTCTCTTTCTCTCTTTCTCTCTCTCTCTCTCCCTCCCCTCTCTCTCTCTCTCTCTCTCTCTCTCTCTCTTTCTCTCTCTCTCTCTCTCTCTCTCTCTCTCCCTCTCTCTCTCTCTCTCTCCCCCCTCTCTCTGTTTGTATGTGCTGCCCACCAAGCATGCTAGGCCATGTTGCAATGCAATGACGTTCATCCAGAAGATAACTCAGCTTTCATGTTTGGCTTCAGGTTGCCTTTACCATAACTAACGCTCACATCAACAAGTTTGCCTAGATATGAATGCTGCTGTTGTTTTGTTTGGCTTTTAACAAAACTGTTTGCATATTTTGATTTGTATTAATCAAACAATACCTTCTTCATAGCCAACCATTCTTCTGTTTGTGTTTTATTTCACCTTGATCCTCATTTCTCTTCTTTATTCTTGTCTCCCTCTGTGATCTTTCTTTCTTGCTGCTCCTTCATGTTTTCCTTGTCACTGTTGTTATTTTTTTTTTTACCTACCCCTCTCTCCCCCCACCTCATCCCTATGACTGTCAGTATATCTATCTGCCCTGCCTGTCTGTCTCTTTCTGTTTTTTTCCCCATTCTTCTCTGTCTCGCTTTTCTAATTATTTTCTGTTCTGTTTTGTCATTCTTCTAGCTCAGTCTGCTCAACATTTTTTTTTTTTTATGTTCTGTCATTTAAACCTCTTTCTATCTGATCTATTTATTTAGTGTCTGTTTTCTTAGTCCTCCATCTTCTTTAATCTTTTTTGCATCTTATTTGCTTTCTCATAGTTTGTCTTATTTCTTGCTCTGTTTACCTATTCCTGTCTTATTTATTGTTGTTTTCTTATCCCTTGCTTTTTTCTCCCTTTGTTTTCACATTCTGAAGTCATGTCTTTTTTTTTCTTTTTTTCTCTTATTTCTTCTTTTGTTTTCTTATTGTTCTCTGATTTCTTCTTTTGTTTTCTTATTGTTCTCTGATTTCTTCTTTTGTTTTCTTATTGTTCTCTGATTTCTTCTTTTCGTTTCTTATTGTTCTCTGATTTCTTCTTTTCGTTTCTTATTGTTCTCTGATTTCTTCTTTTGTTTTCTTATTGTTCTCTGATTTCTTCTTTTGTTTTCTTATTGTTCTCTGATTTCTTCTTTTCTTTTCTTATTGTTCTCTGATTTCTTCTTTTCGTTTCTTATTGTTCTCTGATTTCTTCTTTTGTTTTCTTATTGTTCTCTGATTTCTTCTTTTGTTTTCTTATTGTTCTCTGATTTCTTCTTTCTTTTCTTATTGTTCTCTGATTTCTTCTTTTGTTTTTTTTGTTTTCTTATTGTTCTCTGATTTTTTCTTTTGTTTTCTTATTGTTCTCTGATTTCTTCTTTTGTTTTCTTATTGTTCTCTGATTTCTTCTTTTGTTTTCTTATTGTTCTCTGATTTCTTCTTTTGTTTTCTTATTGTTCTCTGATTTCTTCTTTTGTTTTCTTATTGTTCTCTGATTTTTTCTTTTGTTTTCTTATTGTTCTCTGATTTCTTCTTTTGTTTTCTTATTGTTCTCTGATTTCTTCTTTTGTTTTCTCATGATTTTGTTCCTTGTTTTGTTTTCTGACTTTCTCTTCTCTTACTCCATTTCTTCCTTACATCTGTCACATCACACTCATTATTAACATTTGATAAATCTTATCGCAGTTATAGCCATGTTAAAATTCTGACTCATATATCACTTGGCTGTTTTAACCATATTTATATCGTCACTAAATGTCACCTTGCTGTTAAAACCATATTTAATTTATTTCTCATAGATCTCATTGTTTTGTCCATCACTATCTACCTGCAGGTTCACCTGTCACCTCACTTTCTCATAGATCTCATTGTTGTTTTGTCCATCACTATCTACCTGCAGGCTCACCTGTCACCTCACTTTCTCATAGATCTCATTGTTGTTTTGCCCATCACTATCTACCTGCAGGCTCACCTGTCACCTCACGTTCTCATAGATCTCATTGTTTTGTCCATCACTATCTACCTGCAGGCTCACCTGTCACCTCACTTTCTCATAGATCTCATTGTTTTGTCCATTACTATCTACCTGCAGGTTCACCTGTCACCTCACTTTCTCATAGATCTCATTGTTGTTTTGCCCATCACTATTTACCTGCAGGCTCATCTGTCACCTCACTTGCTGCTTGTGTGTACTGACTTATTTGTCATGTTTCAGTTATGATTCATATGTAAATCTCCCCATGTGGGTTCCAGAGCCCCATTTGGGTGGAAGAAGGGGATGGGGGGGGGGGGGGGGGCTAGAATACACCCACTGCTTCCCCCTTGTCCTTGAGCATGTGGTAAAAGTCAAATTAAAAGTGCTGTTTCCTTTAAAGATGGAGTACAACTGCTGAGAGATGAGGAACCAACAGCCTGCTTACAAATCTGTAAAAATGGATCTCTGTTCAGAACTCAAGTTCTGGAACAAGGCTAAAGTCCAGAAGAAAACAACCAAAAACCAGAACTTTCTACCAGAGTTTACAGTCGGCAGATGCGAAGAAGAAGAATATATGTAAAATTCATGATAAAGCCATTGCTGAACTCAAGTCTGCGTATGATCTTAGTTCCGGGAGCCAAATTATTTTGGGGAAAACAAATGAACAGATCTACTACCACTTAACAAGCACCTCGTTGAAAACAAACAAGTTGACAAGAGGTTTGCTGAATTCGGACATGTTGGGCCGAAAGGTGTGGATATCACAGCCTAGCTGTAAACCACACAGTTTGCAGACTTCTTTTTAAGAGTTAACACTAGGCAAGAAGAAGAGAAAGGCATGGTGTTTATTATATGCTGTAACTTCACTGAGATAGACGTGTAATATGCTGACACATATGCACATTCATATTCCAACTATAATTTTATTTTGACTTACCTGTCCCATCTTTGTTATTGTCATTATTGAATTAAGTCCATGTGTCATCTTTTTTTTTTAAGTCATTAAATTATGTCCCACAGCTTATATTTGTGTTATAGCCATTATTGAATTAGGACTTGTATGTAAATTTTTTTTTCTTTTGTAGTTATCATCATTTGTTAACTCAGTTGTCCTCTTTCTTTCTAATTAACTCTGCCTGAGAGGCAGGGAACCAGCAGTCTGCATACAAATAAGCCAGGTCTGTAAAACAGATGTGCACACAAAACTCAAGTTCTGGAACAGAACACAAGTCAAGAAGTGGACGAACAACTACAACATTTAATGGAGTTCACAACCAAAGAACATGAAAAAGAATGAAGATATTTCTGTTTTAACCATTATTAAATTAAAGCCGTTACATCATCTTTATTTTATGGTTATTACTAAATAAAGCCCCATGCACTTCTGGTGTAAAGTGAAATAAACTGCCATTCTGACACTATCGCACACTGCACAATTGGTACTGGATCCAATTCTTTTATGGACCTATCAGTACATCAAACCAAGACACGTCTGTTACAACCATTATTATATTCTAACATTCATATGTTTCAATTTTGATTATTAAATCTTGTCGTAACTATCACAGTAATTTTATCATATCTCTGGTAATTGTTTTTCAAAAGAAGTAAAAAAAGCACGTGAGTTCTGAGCATTTTGTACTTTCCAAACTGAACAGCTTCAACAAAACACCAGCCTGGAACTTGCAAAAGCAATACGAGAACTGGAGGCCAGTACCGCGGCCTTGACGTCTGCTTATGATGCTGATTCTTACGCTGGCGTCTCCAACCATGCAGCTGTGACCTCATCGACTGCCACCGCGACTTCTGATGCGGACAGCTACACAAGCAAGATGTCGCTGCAGTGTTCCTCCGGCTACGGCACCATGAACAGCACACCTGCTGGCTCGGAGGACACAATCGCATCAGGAGGTGAGTTTATAGAACAATTTCTTCTCCATCTTTGTTGGTAATCTTCTTTGTTCTTCAACTGCCTTTTCCTCCTTTAGTGTCTTTTGCTTCTCCCTCTCTTTCTGTGTCTTATTCTGAAATCGCATTTTTGTGTTGAACACTCAGGACTTGATTCTCTAAACCCAGTTTAGTAGCAGGTTGTCACTGTGTCCTACAGTTTCTAATCAACCTTCAACCTTTGACCTTGGGGGGGGGGGGGGCAGCATTCCAGAAATAGATATTAATGGTGGTTGGGGGGGGGGGGGTGGGGGTTGGTGCTGTTGCCACACACAGATAGTGGGTGAGGGGGTTTCCACACATAAGTTTTGGGAGTGTGGAATAAAAGACCAGTTTCCACACATAAGTGTTGGGAGTGTGGAATAAAAGACCAGTTTCCACACCTTTAGGTGAATTAGGCATACAGCACTGAA